GGGAGGGATAATTACTGGTCACTACTCAAGTGTTGGCCTGAACAACATAATGTGTGTAAAGTACTTGATGATGCTTGGAAGAAAAGCAAAGGATAATCATCAAGGGTGCTGAGAATTTCCGTATTTGAACTTTCTATTACATTCTCTCCAGTTCTGTTTTCTATTCTTTGTGTGTCTGGAGCAGCCCACGTTGCCAGTGAACTTTGCTATTCTCAACGAGTTTTAAGTGAATGCAAAATGCTGTTTGGATGGTTTTTCATGCTGGCAATAATGGCTCACAAAATAATACTGATATTAAGAGCTCAGTGAAGCCCCGCCGGTGTGGCCCAGTGGTTGAGCTGTGACCCATGCACCAAGAGGTCACCAGTTCGATTCCCAGTCAGGGCACATGCCCAGGTTGTAGGCCAAATCCCCAGTTGGGGGCATGCAGGAGGCAGCCAATTGATGTTCTCTTTCATTGATGTTTCTCTCTCTCTCCTCCTCTCCCTACCTCTCTCTCTCAAATGAATAAAGAAAAAAAAATTTTTTTTTTTAAAGAGCTCAGTGAAGTTAAGTAACTTACCCAAGATCACACAGTTAATAAGCATAGTGGGCTAAATAAGTTAATAAACTTGGTTTTGAACGTAGATCTGACTGATGGCTGACCCTTAATCACTTCTGCTTCACAGTGGATCTTGAGCCACATGAAGGTCCTAGAGGTCTGTGAAAGTCCACTGGGTAACCTACTGTTAAGCTGCATTTTGCAGGGAAGGGTGGAAAGCACCAAGCAGGGTTTGCACACCACTGTTCTTTGCTGTCTCTTGGAATGAGAGGAGGAGACCTAGATTTCAGGAGCTCTTGAGTTGTGTCAGAGGGGATGGGTGGCGGATAGGATAATAAAGCCTTAGGGTTGAAGAGGACATTAGAGAGCATCTTAATTAGTCTTAGGGCCACTGAGGAACTGAATCAAAGTTCTGTTCTATTTGGTCTATTTGACTAAACTTAAAACACCTAGATTTTTTTTTTCTCTCTCTTTTTTTTAATCCTCACTCGAGGATATTTTTCCATTGATTTTCAGATAGAGTGGGAGGGAGGGAAGGAGAGAGAGAAACATCAACTAGTTGCCTCCTGCATGACTCCAACCAGGGCTAGGGATTGAACCCATAACCGAGGTACGTGCCCTTGAACAGGAATCAAACCTGAGACCCTGGTCTTCGGGCTGACACTCTTAACCACTGAGCCAGGGCTGGATTTTTTTCCTCATACCAGCAGGTCTCTCTGTCTCTGGAGGAGTTTACCTTGGCACTCACATCTCACTACCCCTAATCTACTTTTTTTTTTGGCTAAATAAAGGTCAATGAACCCACTTACATACTTATATTTCTGAACTGCCCACCATCTCTCCTTTGTCCTGCAGCAGAAAAATGGCCATTCCCATAATCAAGACCATCTTAGGCAGCTTGGAGACTCTATCTGGGGGCAGAGGGAGAAGAGGGGACGAGATATACTGATTGAAAAGCATTTGAAGAACTCTGGATGAAAGGGTGCTACTACAGTTCTGTTCTCCCTGGAAAAAAGTAGAGTTTATATCAGGCTTCCTGCCTCGGGGAATGGAAGAGCCAAGATAAAAGCTGACACCAGTAGGTCATGAGGATACCACCTGTTTAGATTTCAAACACGGTCCATTCCACTTAGGACTGGTTGGCCGCTATGAGTTCAGAGCCTGGACCTCACCTGGTGAATTTTCCCAAGGCAGAAGTATCACTGGGTTCTTCATTGTGTCAGAGTGTAGGCAGCATAGCCTCTTTTAGAAACTTTGTGAATACTTGAACTGTGCTCTTGTGAGCCAGTGCCAGAAGAATAGCATTTCAAGACTTGATAGACTCAGGAGAAACTATTTAAAAAAAATTTTTTTTTCTTTAAAGAATTTTTATATTGATTTTTTTTTTTTTTTTTAAGTGGGAGAGAGAGCCCAGCCGGTGTGGCTTAGTGGTTGAGCATCAACCCATGCACCAAGAGGTCGCCAGTTTGATTCCTGGTTAGGGCCCATGCCCAGTGGGGGGCATGCAGGAAGCAGCCAGTCGATGTTCTCTCTCATTGATGTTTCTATCTCTCTTGCCTTCTCCCTTACTCTCTAAAATCAATAAAGAAAAAAAAAATTTTTTTTTTAAATAAGAGGGAGAAAGAGAAAAACATCGATGTGAGAGCAGAACATCCATTGGCTGCCTCCTGCATGTCCCCCACTGCGGATCGAGCCCGCATGTACCCTGACTAGGAATTGAACCAGCATCCCTACGAAGCACAGTATGACGCCCAACTGACTGAGTCACACCAGCCAGGGCAAGAGAAACTTTTTGATGTCCTTATGAAAGCAGTTTTTTACTCTGAAGTCAGAGAGCATGTGTTCTATCAAAAGTGAGCACAGATCTGCTTTCTCCATGTACGCCAGGCCTCACAGGAAACATCTCACTGGACAGCCACCCACTGGGTGGTTGCATTTTGCCTACAGTGTACACAGGAAGGCAAAGACGGGAAGAAATGTTTGCAATATTGTGAAACCCTCATTGTCAGAGTTTACAAAATGCCTTTCCCATGTTTCCTTCTTCCTAAATCCCTTTATACAGGGGTGTAAGACTCTTAAAAGGCCAGGAAATACCTGAAGATGTATGGTGGAGACCTGCACTGAGCCAGGGAGTGGCTTTTAGCCATTCTTGTCCTCTCTCTGTGGCTTCAGGTGCCTGTACTGTTGCTCTCTGCCTCTAGCCCTGTAGATAGTCACTGGCATGCTTTGTTTATACCCTTGGCCAAGTAGACAGCCTAGTAAAGCCAGGCCCAGAGAGGATGAACCGACCATGTGACTTAAGTTTCCACTGGCAGGCATCTACCCGGATGTGTGCTGTGGGCAGGGTCAGCCTGAGTAGCAGCAAATACAATACTGTGGTTTTAGTTTCTTTGCTGAGCAGGGTTTATTCCCTTCTTTACTCTGAGCTTCTTGGGGATAGGAACAATGTCTTATTTATCTTTGTATCTCCCTCGTACCTAACCCAGTGCTTGGCACGAAGCAGTGTTCAATAAATACATGTGCTACTTCTTTACAATAAAGAAATGTTGAAAACCAGACAGAGCAGGTGACTTATAGGTCTCGTTACATACATTGCAGTCCAGAGAATATTTTGGGCTGAAGTTGAGGTTGGCTCATAGGGTATTTCATATATTTTTTAAAAATATGTTTTTATTGATTTTTCAGAGAGAGAGAAAGGGAGAGGGAGATAGAAACATCAATGTGAGGCACAAGGATCGGCTGCCTCCTGCACGCCCTCTACTGGGGATTGAGTCTGAAACTGAGGCATGTGCCCTGACTGGGATTTGAATTACGACCTCTCAGTCCATGGGACGACACTCAATCCACTGAGCTACACTGGCCGGGCAAGGGGTATTTCCTGTTTTAAGTGTGAAATGTAAAAAATCTTTCCCACTTCCATCTCCAGTCCCTAGTGCTGTGAATAGAATTTGGCAAACTGCTAGATGGTTACTCAGCAGTACCCTTTCTGTAGCTGTCCTTGACAAGGGACAGTATAAATCCTAGGTCCAGTCAAGATTATTAAGAGATCATTTGATAAAGCAAAAAAAAAGATCTAGAAAATTGAAATTGTACTAGGTCACTTGAGCCGGTCACTCCTTTTCTTAAAAGTGAGGAATTTAGCCCTTGCCGGTTTAGTTCAGTGGTTAGAGCATCAGCCTGTGGACCAAAGAGTCACAGGTTTGATTCCAGTCAAGGGCATGTACCTCAGTTGTGGTTTGGTCCCTGGCCCTGGTAGGGTTGTGGAGGAGGCAGCCAGTCAATGTATGTCTCACATCAGTGTTTTTCTCTCTCTCCCTCTCCCTCCCTCCCACTCTATCTGAAGATAAATGGAAAAATATCCTCAGGTGAGGAATTTAGTAGCAAGTATTTTAGCCCTCTTTTGAATCACTAATTAACCTTGGGGATCATGTGTTTTGAAGGGAGGATGGAATGCCTGACCAGATGCTAATCTTAATCCTAGAATATATATTGCATTAATTATTCCAGGAACTTTGACAGAAAAGCCGGCTTTATTTAAAACTACTGCTAATTAGCCTGGCTGTTGTGCTCAGCGGATTGAGCGTGGTGCCATGGACTTGAGGTCCTGGTTCGATTCCTGGTCAGGGCACATGCCCGGATTGCAGGCTTGATTCCTGCTGGGGGTGTGCAGGAGGCAGCTCATCGATTTTTCTCTCTCACTCGATGTTTCTGTCTCTCCCTATAAAAACATTTTTAAAAAACCACTGCTATTTACAGGAGAGTCATCACACTGTCACCAACTGAGTTTAAATAACACTGGAACACCAAATGTTTGTACTTGGATATAAAGAAAGTGACAACCCTTTCCTGTCTGAGGAAAACTCTGCTCTTTACTAGTCAGCTGTGTATGTTGAATCCTCTAACCTCTCTCTCTTTTTTCAAATGTACACATTTTTTTTAAAAATTAGATTGATTTTTAGAGAGAGAAGTAAGGAGAGAGAGAGAAACATTGATTTGCTATTCTACCTATTGATACATTCATTGATTGATCCTTGTATGTGCCTTTTCTGGAGATCAAACCCACAGCCTTGGCACATTAGGATGATGCTCCAGCCAACTGAGCCTACCTGGCCAGGGCCTCTTCTCCTTTTTTTTTTTTTTTATTATTCTTTTTTGCAGCCCAAGCCTCCCTCCCCGCCGCCGCCATCCCTCCTGCGAGCCCTCTTCTTTTAATAAACCATTTCCTCCCCCCTTAAATCTTCTATTCTTTTTTATATTTTTTTCTTAATGGAATAAATATTGGTACAAACCATTTTGGTGGAGGGTGAGGAGACGACCAGAAAGGAGGATGAGAAAAAATGATATTTAAAAACTATAATTTAATTGTGAATAAAGGCAGTTTTTTAAATCTGCAAGAAACAAAACAAATAAAAACTGTAATTTAATATGCTAAAATGTTTACTTATTTATTTACTTTTAGGATAAGGAAACCTGCGTGGGTACCAACAATCAGAGCTACATCTGTGACACAGGACACTGCTGTGGACAGTCTCAGTGCTGCAACTACTACTATGAACTCTGGTGTAAGTCCCTGCCTGGAGGTTTCTTCGAACCCCAGGGTGCTGGTTACTGCCTCTGCTTGTTGGAAAACCTTGGACTGGTCAGCGTTTTTCTCATTCTCTTGGGGCAGTGTTAGCAAGTAGAATCAGTTTCCAGGTTCCAGCAGTGATTCCTCTGTAGAAGAGGAGTACTCTGATACTCTTTGGGGATTGTGGGCTGAAGACTAGAGAATATGGTCTGAGCCTTCTTAAGAGGCTGTGGTTACCAGATCTGTAACAGAAACTCCTGCCTGGGTTGTCTTTGATGCTCTCTCTAGTGTGTGCTGAGCAGTGACAACCACTTAGATCTTTCCATTTGCCATCCCAGGCTCCCAGGCTTGCCATCTTTGCAAAGAGAGGTTGCAGCCAAACTGCTGTGAGTGCCGAGCTGGTTCTGTGAATGACTGTAAGTCCATTTTTCTGTAAGAACCACAAGGTTTTAGAACTCCCCGTGGAGTATCAAGGAGCTGCTTCTGTTTCTGATGGTCCTTCTCAAAGGGATAATCTTTCTCGGTTCCCTGCCTACAGAGCCCTCCTGGAGAGAGGGAGCCTCCTGTGCTTCATCCCCAGTTCTCAAGCTGAAGTGTCTGGAGGCTTTTCCAGTGCACCTAACCTGTTACTGTCAGCTAAATGCCCTGTGGAGACAACCCTTGTCTTGCCACTGGTTTGGTTGAGGCTGGGGCCACTTGCACCTTCTAGAGTTGCACAAGGTGGTGACATTGCTATGGTCTTCAGGGAATGACCCACGCTTAAAGACTTCACTAACACACTTTGTACTCTGATCTTCGTGGTACTCAGACAAGACACTATAGGATGCTCAATGAAGAATGGGAAGATGGAAGAGTCCTTAGGGCAGAGTCCCCAGGTGACCAGCATTTCAGTGGTTCTCACAACTGTCTGTTGAGAGAGGAAATGATACACTGTTTCCCCAGATAATTCTAAGCACCCCCTCACTACTCCATTTGGAAATGAGCTTTGGGCTTGTTTGTCAAACCATTGCTTTATTGCCACCATTACCCCTGCCCCCTTTTCCCTCTCTCCTTTCTGGTTTCTCTGTTCCCTCCCACATCAGTGATGTGGGCAGAGAGCAGCTAGAAGGGCTATTTATTATCTGGTGTGGAGAGGAAATTAGACTCTTGGCTGGGAAGACTCTCGTCTAAATGCAAATGGATCTTGTAGCCAGTGGGAGTGGTTCTTACAAACAGGACTTCTTTTCACCGTGGTCCTTCCCGTTTGGGGACTGGGGACTGACCTACTTGTCTGCCTTTCTGAGGAATCCCAGAGGCAGTCAAATGCAGACTCCTCCCCTAAGGAGAGGACAAGGCTCAGAATATCCCTACCCCACCCCCATCCCAGTCCTCCAAGTATATAAGCAGCCACCAAAGAGGCCCAGAATTGTTGCTGTTTTAGAAGGGGTGGAGCTGAGGGACTTACTAGAGAATATAAAGTGCCAAGCAGGTGGACAGACTCTGTTTAAATGTTTTAAAATGCAGATAACCGCAGGGTTCAAATTCTCCCTCCCACCCCTTGTTAAAACAAAAGTCGAAGCTGGGCTGCCAGGAAGCCACAGAGCTGACAGTTTGTTTTTCTGGGACCTGGCCCAGGCGCATCAGTTGCGGAAAGGGATGGAGTTGATGGCCCCATCTCAGATTGACAGAGTCTACTGAGCTGTTGGCAGAGCAGACTCAGTAGCCACCAGAATTGGGTCACCGAAGCCAGGGCGGCGTGGTCGGGTAGCAGGACGGGGCAGCAAGACAGGGAAACCCAGATGGCAGGGAGGCATTCTGGGAACCAGACACTTCACCCCAAGGGCTAAAAAGGCCAGAGAAAGAGCTACACGAGTGGCCAATTATCTCTCCAGTCATGGTCAGTTGGGAAAGGAGGAGGCCAGACAGAAACTAGAGTCTGGATGGGGAGAAAAGACTCACTGTTATACCACTTGGCCCTTACTTTTTAAGTTCTGTAGGGACAGAGATTGTAAAAGCAAAACTTTGCTCTCATCTGTGCCCTGAAATGGCTTCTTGGTCAGGAGATGCCCAGTGAGTGTTTCACCCCTCTGTGAATTCTTTGGTTTCCTCCTTATTAGGGTCTTGGCCTCCGCCTGATGTGTATAAAGAGAGGTTGAGTGTTGGAATGAGCCCTTTCAGTTCTCATCAGAACTGCACTTTTTGTGACCTTGAGCCCTATTCCCTCTAATTGCCTCTAAACTTTGCCTAAAATGTGAAAGTCATGGGCTCTGGGTTATTCTTTTTGTCTCTTTGGAAGGAAAAACATCTCAGCCAGGAAATCCTTGGCAGAGGGCCTTAAGGGGGAAAAAATACCATTTGCACCAACCCTTTTACCTCTACTAAGCTGAATTTTCCTATGTGTGGAAGACTGTCAGACACACAAGCACATACAGACCTCGAGCTTCAGGCAGCAAGCACCCTTTCTCCCACGTCTTTCAGTCTGTTGTTACCTGAGCTAGTAGTCAGTACTGGGCCTGCATCAGACAGGAAGTGAAGGTTCTGTTTTCCCAGTGCCGAGGTTGAGGCTATGGGACCTGATCATTACTCTTGTGGTCCAGCCCTCATGTTATTATGGCACTTGCACTTTAAGTCGTTGTTCAATCATTTATTCATTCAGCAAACCCTTATTCCAGTGGTTCTTGAACTTTGGCAAGCATCTGAATTTCCTGGAGGGCTCATTAAAACACAGTTTTCTGGGCCCTACTCCCAGATTTTTTGATTCAATAGATCTTAGATGGACCTGAGAATTTGCAATTCTAACAAGTTCCTACTGGATGTCCTGGCATCTTCTGTGTTAGAAACTGGGCAGATATAGTCCTTGCCATCAAGAAGGGCGTCTCCTAGCAGAGAGAGGAGGTAAGATAAGATGCCCCAGTAGTAATGCAAAGTAGAGAGTGGAATGTATTTGCCAGAGCTGCTATAAATGTCCAAAAGGAGAGTTTGCTTTGGCTAGGCAAGAGTTAGGCAGGAAGAGGTAGCATTTGAAGTGAGTCTTAAAAGTTAGATAGGGTTTAAACACATGGAGAAGGGTAGAATGATTTTCCAGGCAGAGGAACACCATTGGCCAAGGCCCCATGAGAAAGAACAAAGTATGCATCACAATATTAACCTTTCCCCTGGGGCTTGACTAGGAATAAATGGGCAATAACAAGGGTGCTAATGTGCATAGAACTCTCCTAGTGCTGGGCACTAAGTAAGGTCTTCATGCACATCGCCTCATCTCACCTTAAGAACATCCTACCAGCCCTGCCAGTGTGGCTCAGCAGTTGAGCATCAGCCCATGCACCAAGAGGTCACTGGTTCGATCCCAGTCAGGACACATGCCCAGGTTGTGGGCCCGATCCCCAGTGGGGGGCATGCAGGAGGTGGCCAGTTGATGTTCTCTCTCATCAATGTTTCTATCTCTCTCTCCCTCTCCCTTCCTCTGTCTCTAAAATCAATAAAGAAAAAAAATGACAAAGGTTACAAAGCTAGGAAATGGTTTCGTGAGCTGAGATTTGAACCCAGTTTGTCTACCTCTTCTTTTTTCTATTTGCAGTCATGCTTATAGGAAACTTGTTCAGTCTTTCAGATAAAGTTGCCTGTCCTCTGAAGTCTTCATTTCCCCAATTCAGGCCTTTGCTACAGTGGCAGTGGCAGGAGCTCCTGCTGAGAGGTATAAGGGGCCCAGGGGGTCACCCACCATCCTGTAAAAGGAGAGCTAATTTACAGTATGCTGTGGCTTCCTAATGAGGAATTTCCTGCCAGTAGGGGAGTGGTGTTTTCCCAAGTTTATTGTGAACTCTGGGACACATGACTCAGTGCCTACATTGGACTGTGATTGTTTTTAAAAACATGTTTCCATTTTGCTTAGCATGACAAATGCTCCCCACCACGAGGTCACAACTTTCAAAGTTGTCATTGGGGAATTTAATCTCAGGGTAGATGTATGTTTGGAAAGGTGGGCATGCTTCTGTCTTTTGCTGTGTGTCTCTTTCATTAAGTTTTCATTTTTTAAACTCTTCCTTGTTTGTGAAATCTAGCAAAAAGATAAAAAGTTAGCACAACTCCATAGGGACTAGTCTGAATATTCCCCCTTAAAGTTGATGTGACACTGCTTTGACTAGAATGGCTCCCAGGAGGATCCATTTTGTGAGGGTCAGGCAAAAATGCCTCTACCTTCCATTAAGTGGGACCAGTTCATTAGAGGTCTTTTCTGGACCTTTACTAATAATACTGCATCATACCACTAGACCCGTTCTGCTTCCAAGTTAGTTTCCCTCCAGATTTGATCCACAATAATCCAGTTGTCTCTTTTCTTTCCCTAGTCCCCTTCTGATCTGCCTAATTTTTTTTCTTTTTTAAAAAAAAGCCCTCTTTTACTGTTATACTTCTAGTTTAGTGGATCCCAACCTTTTTCTGGATCAAGGTTCCACTTTAAATCATTTTACCAAGAAAAGCCTATAAATTTACTGCATCAGTCAGGATAGGCTAGGTTATGCTGCAGTAACAAAGAAGTCCAAAATCCTAGTGGGCTAAAACAACAAGTTTACTTCTCACTCACACTATAGTATGTCTGTTGCAGGTTGGTTGGGAGCTTTGTTTTCACTTCATCATCCTTTGGGACCAGACTCACCCTGAAGTCACTCTCTGGAATGTTGCCAATTGCCATGGCAGAAGGAAGACTCATGGAGGGTTTCACATCAGCAAGAAATGGTCTGGCCTTTAAGAGACATGTGTCACTTCCATTCCCAATTCATAAGTTAGAACCAGTATCAAAACCTCATCCAATCAAAAAGGGGCCAGGAAGTTCAGCCTACCCACATGCCCAGAGGTGGAAAACCAGAACTATTTGGCCAGTGTGAAAACCAGTGCATGAGATTTTTCCTATTAAAAGCATGGTTTTTTGTTTGTTTTGTTTTGTTTTTTTTAAAGCCTGTTATAAAAGCAGAGAAATACTGCTTTAGGTTATATATATTGCTGCATGAAAATTAAAAGTTGGTTTACCTCTAGGTAAGAAACTATTGGAAAAAATGACTCGGGAGATCTAAAATAGTAGAATTAAATGTTGATTATCTAATGGGAGAATGTACTTTCTAAATTATCAAGCAACACCGAAATATGAAGGATTGTGAGGTTATGCTGGAAAACATAAGAGAAATATAGGTATTATAAAAAGAGTGTCAGCCCAGGATCTTTTTGACTTTGAAATACATTTGGCATCAGGCTCTTTAGCAGAATGCACTGTGCTTATTTGTGATGCCTCCCTCCAGTATGGTCTCCTGCTGAGAGGCTGGGAGACTAGGAGCTAACTAGATCATCGGGGGTGGGGTGGGGATGTTACAGGATGGCAGCAGGTAGCCAGTTCAGTCAGCCAGCAGCAGGAGAGAAATGTAAGTTTAATTAAGCAAATGTCAGTAGTGAATCTGGGAAGGGGAGGGAGACTTCTAACTTCAACCTAAGTTTATGTTTTCTGGTTAGGAATGAGGTTTTTCTATTTCCTGGTGGGAAAAGGGGAAAACGTCCTCCACCCATTGCCCTCCGCCTGTTCTGTTGCCAGCCCTCCAAAGACAGTTCCATTGAACACTGACATACACTGCAAGCAGTTAGGTGCCACACAGCTTGCCAGAGCCTGGCAGCTGCCCCACCTTGCTGTCTCACCCTGTAAGGGTGGCTTTGTGGGAAGATTCATTGGGGACACCCCTTAGGGGACAGAAGAAGCTATTGCTAGAGGCCACACCCTGAATATCAGTAGAATCAGAATATTGTGTTCTGGTACAAATTGGGGGTCAGGAATCAAGGTTCTATTAATTTACAAGACTGTCTGTAGGGAGAAGGGAGCCTTTAAAAAAAACAAAAATCGAGGCAGAGGAGCAACTGCTATGTGCGTGTGCGCGTGCCCGGGAGGCAGCAAGGGCATGCACACTGCAGGGCCACCGCCCCTCCTGGGTCCGCCCACCCTGCCCTCCCTGCCCAATATACAAAAAAATAAAAAGATAATAAATAAAAACAATAAAATGATGTTAACTCATTATGGCAAGAGTTACATGTGGAAATACTTAACAGATTCTAAACACAGATTTATAATTACAAAGCAGATAATAAAAAATAGATGTAGCATTTGTAATGGAAAAAAATGAAATTATTTAGGAATAGAGAACAGATGAACAATAATATAGTCTATTCTCATTTAAGAACAAGTCACCTGGGGAGGATGGGGAGGAGGATGTCAATGGGGAAAAAAGGAGAAACATTGTAACAAAAATAAGTTAAAAAAAAATAACAGGTCACCTTAAAATTGTTCCTCAGATAAAGTTTTTATTTATTTTTTTTATCCCCACCCGAGGACATTTTTGCATTTATCTTCAGATAGAGCAGGAGAGAAATGGAGGAAGAGAGAAAGAGAAGCATTGATGTGAGGGAGACACATTGAGTGGTTGCCACCCCCACGACCCCAGCCGGGGCTGGGGACAAACCGCAACCAAGGTATGTGCCCTTATTGGGAACCGAACCCAGGACTCTGGTCCGCGGACCAATGCTCTAACTGCTGAGCCAAACCAGCCAGGGCCCTAAGATAAATTTTTTAATTGCAAAGAAGTACATCTTCATCTTAGAAAAATTGGGAAATGTAAATAAGCAAAAAACAAGGGAGCTGGTACCAGAAAATCTGTTGTCCTGTTATCCAGGAATAACCTCATGATTAACTTCCTGATCATTCCTCTAGATGTTTTATATACGTTTTTTTTTCCTCACTCAAGGATATTTTTCCATTGATTTTCAAATAGAGTGGGAAGGAAGTAGAGAGAGAAACATCGATGTGAGAGAGACACATTGATTAGTTGCCTCCCATGTGACCCCAACCAGGGCTGGGGATGAACTGCAATGGAGGTAGGGTTCCTTGACCGGAATCAAATCCCCAACTCTGGTCTGCAGGCCATCGCTTTAACCTCTGAGCCAAACTGACCAGGGCTATACAGCTTTTTTTAAATATTAGAAACATCTTTATGTCAAAAACAGTATCTATGAGTAATTTTTAATGACTCGTATCTTTTTTTTTTTTTTTAGAGAGATAGAAACATCTATGTGAGAGAGAAACAGCAATCATCTGCCTCCTGCATGCTCCCTACTGGGGATCGAGCCTACAACCTGGGCATGTGCCCTGACCAGGAATTGAACTGGAACCTCGCAGTCCATGGGAACCTCTCAGTCCACTGAGCCATACAGGCTGAGCTGACTCCTATCATTTCATTATATGAATATATCCCCAGAGTAATTAAAAAAACCCATCCAGAAATATATTACTTTTTGTTTATTTGTTTTTGTTTTGTTTTTTTGGTACATGCCCCTAGCGGGAACCAAACCCAGGACTCTGGTCCGCAGGCCGATGTTCCAATTGCTGAGCTAAACCGGCCAGGGCAGAAATATATTACTTTTAAAAGTAAAAGCCAGCAAAAATAAAATTAATCACAGATATTTTAAGTTTTTATTTACTTTGTTTTCATTTTTATAATTTGAAAGAAGAAAATAATTGGGAAAATTAAAATTTGTCATAATCTCACTACTTAAAGATATGTCACTATTTTTGTGTTTTTCATTCCAGCCCCTTATCCCCCCATATGTATATATATTTTAAAGCAAAATTGCTCATTAATTAAAATATTTTCTGCATACATTTGAAAATTGGAGAGGGGGTAACTATCCAAGAGAACCAGTGGGAAATGAGAAGAAATAATGCGAAAAGAGGGCTGTGGGCCTTCTCCCTGTTCCTCTACCCCTCTCTGGAGCAGGGAGGAAGAAGGGGTTGCTGCTAATGGCCCTGAGTCTAATGCAACTGCAGGTCAGACGGAGGTGGGAATGGATTGTTTGTGTAAGAGTAGGAGATGGAATTGTACTGGATTATATCAAGGGCTGAGGAAGTCATTTGCACTCCCTAGGGAAGAGATGGACCCAAGGCAATTAGAATTTTCCACCTCTAACTTTAGGGACTCTTCTATTACAGAGGCATACATGGGAGAGAAAAGCTCCACATCTTTTTGGTGGTATCAGGAGAACCCTAAGAATTTCTTTACCAGGCAGCCCCTCCGAGGCCCCTTGCAGTTGCTAGTCAGCTGAGTAGTAGGGATTTTGAGAGGCTCTTTGATTTTGGTGAACAGCCTGGTGTCAGCAGCAGCAGGAAGTAAGCCTGGGAACTGTCCTTTTGGGAGAAGATGGGCACTAAGAGCAGCTAAAGCATTTTCTCAGAGATCCCTTAAGAGAGGAAGAATACTCTGTCCTAAAAGGGGAGCATATTTAGTGCCGACCAAACCTAAAATATGGGAGCACCAGTGGTGATGGAGACTTGCCTTGGCACTTGTTTCTTCCCCCAAGGTCCCTGGAGGCTCCCTAGACTGCGTGACCTCCTTTTTATAAAAATTATTTTTTCCTTTATTGATTTTAGAAAGAGAGGAAGGGAGAGGGAGAGAAAGATAGAAACACTCATGAGAGAGAACATTAATTGGCCGCCTCCTGCACGCCCACACTGGGTATTTAGCCCACAACCTGGGCATGTGTCCTGACCGGGAATCAAACCGGTGACCTCTTGGTGCATGGGTCAACACTCAGCCACTGAGCCACATCGTCCGGGCTGAGTGACCTCCTTTACTGTCATTCTTACAATCCTGCCCTCTTCCATCTCACATATCTTTCAGTCTGGCACAAACGTTTGTGAAAACCAAATGCAATTTCTGAATGTCATTTCACTGAGCAGGGCCTGACAGTTCCAGCTTTGACCTGGTGGGCACTGCTAGGAACCTCCCTGTTCTGAGAGCTGCCCCTGTGGCTGGTGTTCACTGTGTCCCTGCCTCTGTCTTGCTTCCCTGCCCCCAGGGTTCTGGCTGGTGTGGACCATCATCATCATCCTAAGCTGCTGCTGCGTCTGCCACCACCGCCGAGCCAAGCACCGCCTTCAGGCCCAGCAGCGGCAACATGAAATCAACCTGATTGCCTACCGGGAAGCTCACAACTACTCAGCGCTGCCATTTTATTTCAGTACGTACACCAAGAGCCACTCAACTCCACCCTCAGGAACCCAGGACACACAGATTGTGTGTATCTATGGCCAGGGCTCCTATGGGCATCAGGGGTTTGCCTCCTTGCCCAGCATAGAGCAGAGTTTTGAAAGTGCAGGAACAAGAGGGCAGTCACGTTTAACACAGAGGAGCTAGTGCTGTGGGTCCACCTCCTTGAAGCCACTGAGCCATTCCAAATCAACACTGGCTGGATTCTGACCAGGTGTCTACGTCTTTAGCAGGTTTTTTTAGGCAGGTAGTTGAATGGTATATGATGTGAGTGAGTTGAGGTTTTCAATTCAGTGGTCTGAAATCCTCCCATTCTGTTCACTGTCTTGTGATATGCTGGCAGAGGCTGCCGTGAAAGGGTAGGTGTGAGGAGGGTGGCAGTGGGACTTCCTGAGAATCAAGAAACTTGGTGACTCACTGAAGGGAACTCACTTGACTTCTCTGGGCTTCCATACATATGACCTCTCATATGTATGGTCAGTGTAGGGCCAGCTGTGCAGCTTGTCCAAACACAACAGTGTGTTCTATAGAAAAGAAGTGATCACAAATGTGGAATTTCACATTTAGAGGGGTTAAGTGCTTAGCACCAGTGCCTGGCATATAGTAAGTGCTCAATAAATGCTAATAGTTATTGTTGTATTATAATTAGATCATTGATGCCTCAAGGCATTCAGCACAGTGAAAAGGTAACTCACCTGGCAAGTTCTTAATAAGCCTTGAATGATAGGTCCTCACCCTTCACTGGTAACCTGCTCACTCTTGATCTGAGTCAGGATGAGTTTTGATTTGTCTTTCCCTACCAATTCCAGCCACACTAGAGTGAGAGACAACAAAGATTTACAACCTCCCAGAAAAAGGCCCTTTTCATGGTACATCTGGAAGGGTGGGGGAAGAAAAAAAGTGGTCAGAGTCTTAAGTTAGGATCCCTGACCCTGAGGCCTATGGCATTTAGAAGGAGGACAGCCTGAAACAGGTCCATTCCAAGCAGAAGTGATCTTGTGGCCATCCATCACATTTGCCTAACCCTCTACCTTCACTCCAGACCAGACAAGCCTTTGCCTATGAAGCAGCTTTAGGGGCTCTCAGGTTTCAGGAAGTTTAATTAGATTACTCCCCCAGTCCTCTGCTCTGCCCACAACCAAGAGCTGTAGCTGTTACCCGGTGGGTATGCTGGGGGTGGGAAGAGGCATATGTTTAATGTCTCTGTCCTAGAACAATTGCCAGTGCAGTAATATTTCCTCCCTACCTCCCCATTTTAGGGTTTTTGCCAAACTATTTACTACCTCCTTATGAGGAAGTGGTGAACCGACCTCCAACTCCTCCCCCACCATACAGTGCCTTCCAGCTACAGCAGCAGCAGCTGTCTGCACAGTGTGGCCCTGCAGGCGGCAGCCCCCCAGGCGCCAATCCCACCAGGGACTCCCAGGGGGTACAGAGTAGCCCCTTGTCTGGACCCAGCAGAAGCAGCACAAGACCTCCAAGCATCATCGCTGACCCTGAGCCCTCCAACACCGACATGCCAGCCAACCCAGCCGCCACCAAAGCCCCTGGAATAGAGCCCAACAGCTCTGTGGCTGGCCTGGGGGAGCTGGCCCCGAGGGTCTTCCTGGACAAGGATTCTGAATGTAAGGAGGAGCTGCTGAAAGATTACAGCTGTGAGCAGGGCATTGCCCTCCCCGACAGCAAAGACAAGACGCCTGGTAGACATCGCCGCTTCACAGGTGACTCGGGCATTGAGGTGTGTGTGTGCAACCGAGGCCACCATGATGACGACCTCAAAGAGTTCAACACACTCATCGATGACGCTCTGGATGGACCCCTGGACTTCTGCGACAGCTGCCACGTGCGGCCCCCTGGTGACGAGGAGGAAGGGCTCTGCCAGCCCTCCGAGGAGCAGGCCCGAGATCTTGGGCATCCCCATGTGCCACGGCCACCCGCGTGCCTGCTGCTGAACACCATCAATGAGCAGGACTCCCCAAACTCCCAGAGCAGCAGCTCCCCCAGCTAGAGCAGGCGCTGCCTGTACCTGAGAACTTGGCAAAGCAACCAGGGTAGAGGAGAACCACGAGAGAAGCATTAAGTGACTTTCGGAGAAAGTGGTACAGCCACTAGGTCCTTGTTTTTCTTTTTCTTTTTTCTTTTTCCCCTTTTGTTCCTGCATTTTCCTACATCTCCAGGTACAGTTTGGGGTGTGGATGCTCTCCCCACACAGATGCTCAGTGTTGTGGAGGGCTGAGAAGTTGGTTCTGTGACTCATTCCTCATTCCCCACCCTGTCCCCCTTTTCTCCTCTTCAGGTCATATCTCACTACCTGCCAGGGTCAGAGAGATGTGTGTTTAAGAAACCCCCAAGGATGGGGGCTGAGACTGTGCCCTGAGGTGACTCTTGGTGATGGAGTGGGTTTTTGCTCTGGTATTAGTGTAAGAGAACCTTGCTGTGTCAGTCTGGCAGAGGCGGCAGGTCGCAGCTCTGGGTGAAGGACACCTGCAGAGACCCAGGGTTGTCACCCCTCATGGCCAGTATCTGCAGAGCCAGAGTCGGGCTCATCCTGCGGGAGGATGAGGGCTGATGGGCAGCTGTGTAGTAGGTGGGTGAGGGTTTGTTGCATTTCCAAATTGTAGGGGACGAGATCGATGCATCACTGCATCTTTGAGGGGCCCTGGCCTGCACGTTCTGGCTGGCTGCAGGCTGGTTCAGATGTGGAAGATTATGCTACCTTCTCTGGTTTTTATTTTTAAAAAGAAAAAGAACAAAAGCAAGCTATAAACAAAATCTCTACCCGTGGGCAGGCAAAAATTCTGTCCTGGAAAAGGGAAGTGTACAGCTTTGCCCCAGATGGCCTTCAAAGAGCCTGGCTGCAAGTGAGCCAGACGTTTCGTGTGCCGGCTTGGGGAGGCTGTCCCTGGGACTTCTGTGGGTGCACAGGAGGCCTGAGCCGGGCAGTGGATAGAGTGCAGCTTTCTGCCTCTCTGCACTTAGTCTGTGCCCGTAGGTGACCGGGGCCCTCCCCCCACCCAGCACACGGCTTGCAGGCCTTTATGTCTCAGTGTTCTATATGAACAAAGGAGGAGGCTATGGGTCCTGAGGAAGGGCAGCCCCATAGCCTGGCTCTCACACAGTCTTTTCTCTTGATGCTGAATAAGTTTTGTTTTTCTTTTTAACTGACCACTTGGGGAAAAATTGCCTTGGTTATCTGTGGTTTTCATGCTCTCCCCCCACCCCTTGTAAGTGGGGGTAACTAATCGTAGCCTATCTAAAGAGTCTGAGTGGGCCAGGGAGTGTGGTGAAGGCAGCCGTCAAGAGGACCACAGGATCCTTATTACTATAGTTTGGCTTCAGAAAACCAGTTGAGCTTTGAGAGGAATAATCTGAATGGGGAAAGCAAACAGCCGAAACTAACATTCCCTGCCCAGCCCTGTTCATATGAAGAGTTTGGTTCTTCCCCCACTTTGAACAGTGACATTTAGACTAGGCATTAATGTTATGATAAGAAAGGAAAAAAATATATACGTATACAAAAATAGACAAATCCAAGGCTGTGTGGTGAATGAGTACCTGCGTTTGGCGACTACAAAACCAAAATCCATGTTGAACAAAGTGAAGTCCATATACAATGACTTTTTGGATAACCTGTGTGTGTCTGTTTGTTGTGTGTGAGCCCCAGCCCTGTTTTCCTGTGAATATACTTTGAATGGCAGCCATTATGCTCACATTAACCATACATTTGGAGCAAATGTGGCCCTCTCAAGGTAATTTATTTTATGCATTTACTGTTTACTGAACAAATGTCTGACTGTGTACTCGTGTATTCAGCAGCATTGTCGACGGCAGTCCCCAGTGTTTGCCAGAGATACTGTCCTCAAAGTAGAGGTTTTACTCTACCCATCACTGCAATTTGCACATTGCTCCGTGGACATACGGAGGCCTGTGTTCAGTTCCTTGTAAATGGAAACATGCTCTGAACTTGTCTGCCTCCCTTGGTTGCTCCTGGCCCTTGGTGTCAGCCCCCTGGGGATGTTCACAACCACTCGGGACAGAAGGTGAAGGTGGAACTTCAGACAGAAGCTTAATTGGATCTTCAGGGACAAGCTTGGACTAGCTGTGGCCCAGACATCAGCCCTGTCCAGAATTGCCAGGAGGTTTTGGCAGACACCACAGGGCTTACCTCCCTCTGCAAGCAAGCTGGTGTGCGGCGAGAGTGGGCGGAGTGCGTCAGTAGCCCTCAGATGCCTTTCCTTCCACGGCTAAAACAAATTCTCCAACAACTCACTGAAGTGTCTCCAAGGAGATCAAGTTTTACCAAAATGATCCTCCTTCAGTTCACTGATCAAATGGATAAATTCTGTCCCTCTCAAGTTTCCTTCCCTCACCAGAGTGGGGAGCTGGTCTGAGTGTTAGGTTCACTGCAGCGTCCTACCCTCAAGGCAGGAGACGAGGATAAGGGAACCTGGGGAACGGGGCTTGATCCCAGCAGTCAGTGTCCCCTGCTCCAGGAGGCTACCCCGAGTGCAGAGAGATGGAAATGGGGAGTTGAAGGACTAGTTAGGGGGCCAGGGAGATTTCGATTGAGTCTGGTTTTCCAGGTGAATGAGAAGGAAGGGGTTGGTCGAGGGTTTGGTGCTACAGTCAGATTTGCAAATGTAACACATTCCTGCGTGAGGCACATCATTTGTCAGTTATTGTGAATATTTGTATTTTAAGCAATAAGATTCAGCTGGTCAGACCTTTCTGGGCAGTCTCGGTGACACATTTCCTGTGCTGTGATTGTTCTGAAGACAGAGTGGCTCTAACCACTGTGAGAAGCCCAAATAAAATCAGTCCCCAAAATTTTGCTGCGCTTTTTTCTTGAAGCATTTTGTTCCTTTTTTCTCTACCTCAGACTTCAGGGGGTCGAACCTCAAGATTCTTAACCACTTGGCCTTGGAATTTACTATGCAAAATATGTCTTAGTTCCTGGTCATTGTGGCTCAGTGGTTGAGCGTAGACTCCATGCACCAAAAGGTTGCCAGTTTGATTCCCGCTCAGGGCACATGCCCAGGTTGTGGGCCCAATCCCCAGTGGGGGGCATGCAGGAGGTGGCCAGTCAATGTGCTCTCTCATCGATGTTTCTAGCCCAAATATATATATATGTATGTCTTAGTGATTCTCCCAGTAGGTGCCCAGAACTGCTGGATGCTAAAGAGAATGTAAAAGAAATATATAAGACATGTCCTCTGGAAGTTAAATTATAGTTAGGAAGACAATAAACATAACCATTTGACATAGTTAACAATATATAGTAGATTGAGATGAAATTAAGTGAGTGGTACAGATTCAGAGACTCGAGTTGTGGGAGGTAGTTTGAGGTCTTGAATACCAGGCAGGGAACTCAGAAGTGAGTTAAACTGTGGGAGAGCCACTGGTGTGTCAACATCTGTCCTCATGGGACTCATTGACACTACTTTCTAAAGACTGTCCTATTAGAACTTTGAGTCAGGTGTAAGTCCCTCCTCAAAGGGAAGGAACAGCCCAACCCAGCAAGACTTCCTTTTAGGCAGCCTGCAGGTGAGCAAAGTAAGATGATGTGGAACCCTCCCTGAGGGGGTTCCTGCCTCCCCACATGGAGCACTCACTGGTGGGGGGTGCTGGCAGAGAGCATTCGAGTTTACCCTGTAGTGAGCACTGTTGTTTTTTTTCATCCTCACCTGAGGATATTTTTGCATGTATCTTCGAATGGAGTGGGAGGAAGAGAGAAACATTGATGTGAGAGAGACATCGAGTTGTTGCCACCCACACGTTGGGGGACAAATACAACCGAGGTACGTGCCTTTAGCGGGAACTGAACCCGGGACTCTCCGGTCTGCGGGCTGACGCTCTAACCTCTGAGCCAAACCGGCCAGGACAGCACTGTTTCTGAGTCCAGTGTAAACTAGACATGTCCCTGTGTCCCTTTGACCCTGGGCCAGAGGACACTGCCCTGGCCCTTCCATGACTGTAGTGGGATGGTTGCTGCCTAGTTTCTTCTAAACTGCTGGGCTCCTCCAAGTAACCCCAGGGGAGCCACAGTAGCATCCAGAGATAGTTTTGCTCTAAAACCACAGGGGAAAATGGGGAGTAGAACATTTCCTGTCTTCTTTAATCGAATTTTTGAGTGGTGGAAAAAAACGTACAATTCTTACAAGGCTGCGTGCCAGAGGCTGCATGTACCCTTGATGCCCAAGCCTGTAAGGCCCCCCTCACAGCACCCCAGGCTCCTGGGTCACTGAGTTCCTCCCCAAGGTGACCAAGTGCAAGTGGAGACAGTCCCAGTGCCCTGAAGCACAAAGCAGAGGAGCTTTGATGAACTAGAATTTCAGGAAATTCTCCATTCTCCAGTTTCCTCTGCTCTAGGGGGAGGGCAAAAACAAGGCTTCACTCAAGGAGCCGGGAAGTGGGTTTGGCTGACAATTGGCATAACCTGCTAGAAACCTGCTTCTGGCTGAACCTACTGCAAAGGGCAGTGGGTCCTCGGAGGTGTCTGGGATACGAGTTTCCACCCTGGGGATAAGGGACTGGCCTTACCTAAGAGCTGAGCATTTATCGAGCACCTACCATGTGCTAGGCATTGGGAATGCAAATGTGCCTTAGACCTGCCTCCTCTTCCTCTAGAGAGGAAGGTGGTACATACACAGTTTTAGTAGCACATGGAAAGTACCGGGAAGCATGTGCACAGGACACTGGAAGAGGATGTGCCCACTGGGGGCTTCAGGACAACCTTCCTGTAACACCTCTGAACTGAGCTTGCCAGGTGAAGAAAGGTGTGAAGGGAATTCTAGGTAAATGTTCAGTCTGTAGATTGTTGAGTGTCCACTCTGCCAAGTGCTGAAAAGCACAGAAAAGGCATCGTAGGTCTAACACAGGAGAGTGTGGGTGTTAGGTCTAAAGCTGCGAGCAGTTTAATCGTTCCAGATAATTGCATTCTGGAAAATGACAGGAGATGAGGCTGGAGAGGTAAGCTGGTAATAAAAATAATTTAACTTGTCTTTATTGTTTCATTTGTTGACTGTTTATATAATGCTGGGTCTTGAGTAAGCCTCTTACCTATGTTTTTAAATTTTAGACTAAAAATAGCCCGTTGAAGTATGGACTCTAATTATTCCCGCTTGATTAATGGGAGTGAGGCATTCAGAGTTGTTGACTGACTTGTCCGCAATCACACAGCTAATGAGAGGTAGAGCTCGGATTTGAACCCACATTTGTCATGTTCGTGTCATGGGAAGAACTTGCAAAGGTGAGAGGGAACCAAAGGAAGGTGTATTGAGCAGGGGAGTAGCATGGTGAAAGAAGCTACTTTATCCCCTTTTCCCCTCCCCCTTGCTTTGTCATAGCCCTCAGAGGACCCACACCCAGTCAGGTTTCCCTAGCAGAGCCCATCAGTGCTGAAGTGGCCTCTAGCCTGGGGCAGGCAGGGGGTGCCTGTTGCAGGTCAGTGTCAACTTCCACAGGGGAGGTGTAACCTCTTGGAAACTGTAAAATTTTCAGCAGTCAAAGCTCTGGGTCTTTGTAGCTTTTTTTTTTATAAGAGTGTTTTGCTCTTTCTCTGCAGATATAAAGAGCTTTGGGTAGCTTGTGAGGGGGAGAAGAGGATGTTTGATTTAAAATCGCTCCTCACTTTGTGTAAGCCAGCTCCTCATCACAGTTTAACCTTCTGGCTCACCAAGAAGTCTCAAGAAACCCAATCCAGGAAAATGTTACAAAACATCCTCAGTATGGGAACATGAAAAGTCTCTCTGGGCTCTCCACCCACTCCCCGGCTGCCGCCCGCCCTAGCTCAGAGGGAGGAGGGGCCGCAGGCAGGGCCATCAGGGCTGCCAGGGTAGGCTCCTGGAGGTCCTGTCCTTCGGATGGACCATCTGGACACACCTGCTCCTCTTGGCCAAGCTGGTAACCTTTGGGAGATTTGCATAAAAGCCTTAGAGAAGGACATTTTGTGAATCTGGATATAGGCAGTGACAATGAAACCAGTGTTTATCGAGGTACGGAACATGTTACACAGACCCGTTTGGTCCTCAGCGACATTCTGAGGTTGGCAGTACTAGTTCTACACACACCTCATCTGCCCATATTACAGATGAGAAAACAGGTTTAAAAAGGCCAAGGAAGTTGCCCGTGGTCATTCGGTCTGTAAGTGACGACACCGAACTTGCCTCCACAGCCTGACTTCTTACCTTCTGTAACCGGTTGGTGTGGAACTCTCCTGCTCACACAGCCCTTTGTGCTTTTCATCCTCACCAGAGTCTCACAATGGGCAGCACAGGTGGTAAGTTACCCTACTGGACAGATGAGGAATGTGAAGTTCAAGAGGCTAGCAATGGACCTAAGATCCAGGACTCAGAAACCGGGGAGTCTGGGTACTAGAACCTGAGTGATCAGGTCCTCCTCATGGGATTGGATGCCTGTCCTATAGGGTGTTTTTACACCTACAAGCATGACTGGAGAGAGGACCCCTCATTTGCTTCAGGTTTTGTGGCCACAAGAGGCCAACCAGAACAATCCTGCTCTGTCACACCCGCACTCCATGCCAAGCTTGCCAGGGAAGAGGTCCCTCCCCTCAGAATGAGGATGCTGGGGCACGGCTCTTCTGAAGAACAGGGCAGCTCATTTCTCCCGGGATGGCCAACTCTTAGCTCACAAGAGCCGATTATTAAATTTTCAGGAATTTTATGAGCTATAGTAAATGGTGTTTACTATGTAATGTAATGTAATGGCAAGTAGCATATAATGCTGCTGTGCCTCTCTTCCCAACTCTGTGGTCAGTGACATCTATTGGTGGCTTGAAATCGGTCATGGTGGGAGTGTTTACATCACATCATCAGCAAAGACTGGGGCAGTTCCCCACCATCAGCACCAGAGCACTGGCTGTTTGGGCAGCCTGAGGCTCGAAAGGTGACTAGGTTCTTGGCAAAGAGCTTCCAACGATCTAGGCTTCCTCTACACAAGGAGATGGAATCTATTTATCACTGGGCAATTAGCCAGGTGACTTAGAGCATTCGATTCAGTCCTCTTGTGTAACTAACCTACTTGTCAGGTGCGATGTATAGGATAAAAAACAGGAGAGGGCTCAGCCTTAACTCCAGAGATACAGGGTGGACGGTGTCCCTTGGGGACACTATACCCATTTCAGGTCCAAGCAGGTGCTCAGATGCACGTGGGATTTAGTACCAAGGAACAGAAGCTGAGTGCTAAAAGGGGCAATCATGGTGGGCTGGGAGTCTTGAGTTATGTCCCGGAGGAGGGCTTCACTCTCAGACTCAGGGTGGGGGGATTCAGGTAAGTGGTAAAAGGCCTTCCAGGCAGGGGAAAGATAGTTTGGATAGGAAGCAGAATTTGTGAGGTCATTTCCTTAAAGAATACTCAGCTTTTTACTTTTTATTGATTTGAGAGAGAGAGGAAGGAAGAGGGAGAGAAACATTGATCAGTTGCCTCCCATGTGCCCCAACTGGGGATCGAACCTGCATTCTGGGTATGTGCCCTGACCGGGAATGGACCCGCAACATTTTGATGCCGGACAATGCTCAGCCAACTGAGCCACACTGGCCAGGGCAGGGCACTCAGCTTTGTGCTCTCTCCAGCCAGAGACCTGAGAGCCCTTCTGTACGGACACGGGATAGGTAGGAGAGCACGTCCACTTCCTCATCCTGCATCATTGATCGTGGGCTCTAGTCGCAGCCCTGCTGCTAAGTAGCTGTGTGACTTAGGGCAAGTCACATCCCCACCCCCGTGACTCTGCTACCCCACTAGCCCTCAGTTTTGTCATCTTCGAATGAAAATGTTACTGTCTGATTCAATAGTTGGAGACTAGGTGTTTCCATCCCAGTTACCTTCACCCACTGCTTCTACAGAAGACACAGACCCTCCGCGAGTTATTTATCTGTTCGACACTAGTCTGCAAAACACTTTCCAAATCTGAGCAAATTTGGAATGCTTTGAGCTGTGTGGGTAGCTTAGCACTAGAATGGGGTGGGGGTGGGAATCTCCAGTTTAACCCTTTCCCTTCAACTCACTGTGGTGTCCGCATCTCTGCAGACTGCTTGTGATGGGGGCTGCGTCAGCCACAGCTGCCCACACACTCTCCTATGGGTTCTTAAGCAAGGCCCCAGGGTTACTGGCCAGTGAAGACCAGGGTTGAGTTGGGGGGAAACAGTAGGGAATGGTCTACTACCACTGGATTTACAAAGCTGTTTGAGGGAAGAAGGTGTTGCCGTAATAGAAAAACTTGTTCCACTCTGTTTTCAAGGGATCCCTTGGTTTCTTCTCTCTGAGAACTTGGTCAGGCAGGGTTCCGGAGCCCCACTCTGGTCAGAAAGGAATGACCGGGTGTTGAAGATCTGACCCTGGTCTGGCTGGCGCCAGGGAGCTGGGGCTGGGGCTGGGGCTGGGGCTGGGGCCTCTCTCTAGGCTAAAGAGCAGGGTCAGTTTTTCCAGGGGCATCTCAGGACATCTTTTACTTGCAGACTAGCCAAGGTTTAAAGAAGCTGGTTTCAAGGTTGAAGCTGGTTGAAGTCTGAGTTCCTTTTTTTTTAACATTTTTGAAAAATTGACTTTAGAAAGAGTGGAAGGGAGAGAGAGAAAAACTTATCGGCTGCCTCCTGCACATCCCCTACTGGAGATCTAGCCTGCACCCTGGCATGTGCCCTGACCAGGAATCCTCTGGCAACTTCTCAGTGCACGGGATGAATCTCAACCAAATGAGCCACATGGGCCAGGGCTGGGTTCCATTTTCTAGTGAGGCATTTATAGACTTCCTGGGCTTGTAGAGCAGGGAGCAGGGGCAGAGCCTGGACACTTTTTAGCAGAAGGCTACTGTGGAAGCCCTATCCTGGCAGTGGCTACTGGACAGGACGAGGAAAAGGAGACCTGCTGGTCACTGGGGACCAAGACAAGAGCGATGGGTACTGGTGGGTTGAGTTTGTGGATTACATACACTCCCCCAAAGCCAAAACATTGAGGTACATGCAGCTGGTGCCTGTTTGCATCAAAGCAAACAAGATCCCTTGCTCCACTATCAAAATATAACTAAATCCCACCACTTCTTGCCGTCTTCACTGCTATTGCCAGCACAGCAACCTCCTGTACAGACCAATCCCCACACAGTAACCAGGTTGACTTCTAAGATATAGAGGAGACCTTTCCGCTTACATGTTTAAACTCTGCAGTGCCTTCCTAGCTTACTTGGGATAAAAACCTAGATTCCTTCCTGCTGATTTCAAAGGCTTCTTGGGACCTGGCCCCTGTCTCCAATCTGATCTCATCCGGGACCACTCTTCCCTTCATTTGCTCTTCTCTGCTCCAGCCAGACTGACCTCTCCCACCTTGAGAACTTCTCACCTGCTGCTCCCTCAGCAAGGGGACCCTTTCCCCCAGGGCTTCCGCACCTTCCTGACGGACCACTTGCTTAAAGTAGCCACACCTACCGCTGCCATTCTCTTCAAGTCACCATCACCTGGTATAGTTGACTTCAAAGTACTTATGAGTCTCTGAAATGCTTATTTATTTGTCAGCCCTCACTAGAAATGTAAACTTCAAGAGACCAGGGAGTGTGAGTGTCCAGGGACAGTGAGTGGCACACAGGAAGTGCTCAATAAAATATTTATTGAAAGAATGAGTGAAAAAGTTAAATGAATGAGCTTCAGCTGCTCAGGGATTTTTTTTTTTTTTTTAATAGAAGGGTAATTTGATGATATTAAGGAATGTACTTACTAAGTTCAGGGACTTTCTTAAGAAAAACTTTAGTTTATGCACATCACTGTCAGGCTGCAGGTTGGAAAGGAAGGCAGAGTGGGTGGGAGGAGGCGGGGGTGGGGTGGGTGGGGTGGAGTAGCATCTAATTCTGTGCTGTGGGGCCACACAGGGTGTAGCACTAGGTATGGCTTCTAGGTGCTACCCTCACCCTGGGCTTCCTTCCAGGCCTGGCGCATTTTAATCTTCACTTTGTAAGAGTCGATCAGAAAGACCACGTTGGGGATGCCCTCCAGGGAGGGCAGCTGCCCATCATCTGGGACCTCCAGGTCAAACCTCTGCAGCATCCAGGACATGAAGAGGAAGAGCGCCTGGCGGGCCAGATTCTCCCCTATGCAGGAGCGGGGTCCTGCTCCAAAGGGCAAGTAGCTTGAGGATGGCGAGATGAGCTGGCTCCCCGTGGGGTCCAGGAAGCGCTCTGTGGACACCGGGATGTGTCAGGTGGGGGCCAGGACCAGAGAAAGTAGAGGAGTGTCTGCCCTGCCTGAGGAGCCCCAGCTTGAGGAGAGATGCTGCCTGCTCTCAGAAGTCCTTAATCACCCAGAGGAAATGAAATATTCAGGAAGGATAGAAAGGAGGCAGTATTGACTGATGAAAAATGCCACTATCCGAGGGGAGACGGAGTGAACTTCATGGGGGCATATGCATAGAGGGCTTCTTAGAAGAGTAAATTAGCAGTAGGTAGAAGGAAAAGGTAGGGAACCCGCCTGTGAAGAATTTGGGTAAGTCTGTGGGTGGAATGGGGGTGTCAGTAGGTTCAGGTCCAGGGGAAGTGGCGCTGGAGTGGCAGAGCACAGACCACGCCGGCTGTATGGCCTGGGGGCAGGACAGAACACGGACTCACCGGGCATGAACTGGTCCGGCCGGTGCCATTCCTTCTCATTGTGATGCAGTGCCCACAGATTGATGACAACATTGGTGCCCTTGTCAATGGCAAACTCCCCGATGCTGCCCCAGAGAGGGAGAGGAAAAGTGGGTCTGGAGTATTGTCCTCCCTGACCTGCTTAGCCCTGAGACCCCACAGCCCCCCACCCTAGGTAAAAGAGCCCTCTCCGCCCTCATGCCCATTCCTTCATCTTTTCCTCAGCTTCAGTATGAATCCAGCCCTTCTCCAGCCCTCTCTTCCTGACAAGCACCTATGTATCAACACTTGTGTACGTGGATATTTGGTCTATCGGGGCACATGGGTGTGCATTTTGAGCGGTGCAGTGTGTGTGTGTTGTGGCTACTGGACTGAGTAGGAGCACAGAGCACCAGTATTTCATCCCAGACCTCATGTCCCCAGGACAGCAGGCAGCTTCTGAGGGAGGGCAGGTATGTCTGAGGATTAGTCATTGGGTGTTAGTGAGTGGTGGACACATTGATCAACAGGATCATGGTAAGATGATTGATAGGTAATGGTTGACTATAGGTGGACCAGCAAGGTGAGGGCCTGAGGGAGTGGAGGAGGGGCCAGGCGGGCTGGCAAGCAGTGTTCAATGCATCTTAGAGCTGGATGTTATTGGGTGGCAAAGCACACCTGGAGTCAACGTTAGCCTTGTGGGGGATGAGTGTAGGGGCCACAGGGCGAATGCGAAGCACCTCTCGGATGGTGGCCTCCAGCAGGACAAGGTGGTTTCGATCACTGATAGTTGGTGTGCGGCCAAAACCTACATTCTGGTCAATCTCCTCCTTAATCTTCTTTTGCAACTGGGGACCAGAGAAGGGTGGATGTGACCAGAGTGCTTTTAAGCCCGGAAAAAGCAGAGATTTAGAAGAAGCCATTGTTACATCTAGAAGAGCTGGCCCAGACCCTTCCCAGTGGTAGCTCTGCAGCCTTGGCTTTCCTTCCAGAAGATGAGGCAGCTCCACCCTAGGGCCAGAGCCAACCACTGCTGGGGTGAGGACAGAGCAGTCTAGTCATCTGCACAAAAGACCTGGGAGTATTGTGGTATTGTCCCCCCGCACCGTCCCCCCAGAGTTGTGGCTGGTTGGGGTCAAGAGTGGTTGGGAACACTGGAGTAAGGAGAAGCCCACCTGAGGATAGTGCAGCAGGAAGGCCACAGTCCACTTCACCACGGAGGTAGTGGTCTCCAAACCAGCCCCAAAGATGTCCCCTATGGTAGCGAGAATGTGTTGATCTGAAAGCAGCTTTGAATCCAGGTCTGAGCCAGCATTGTTATTGACTGAATTCATCTGGGCTTGAATCAGTATGTCCACCAAGTTAGTGACAGAATCGCTGCTGAAGTTCTTCTGGTTGGGTAAGGTTGGGAAACAGTGAGAAGGAAGGAGCCCCATCTGCATCACCCTACCGTACTTCCATCCTAGGCTGGAGATACAAAGGCTTCTTCCGCTTGATAGTGTGGGAGCGGAGGAAGTCTAGTCAGAACCTGTGAGCTTGTGGAGGTGAGGCAGCTCTAGGTCCTCTTTAAATGTGTGTGGAGGTGGTGGGGGTGGGGTCCCTTCTAGGATCCTCTTTAATTCCTCACTTCCCCACCCCTATTCATTAGTTAAGTCAGTTTTTATTGAGCACCTACTATGTGCCAGACTCTCTGCTAGCTTCTGGAGACCCTACGGTGTTCAAAATGGACCTCAACCTGGCTCTTGTGACACTTTCAACCTAACTCGTAATCTCTTGTGCTCCATTACCTACCTTATGTTTTTCATAGATTTCAGTCAGCAAAACATTTCGTATTTTAATACTGTTCTTCATTGTTTCCAGTGTTTTGTTGGGGAACACCTGGAAAGTAGAAAGAAATGTCAAATCCACCCCTCTTGCTTTCTGTTCCTAGAGCCACCAGAATCGCTCCTGGGGGTAGATCCCAGCCTTCTGTCTCTGGAGAGTTCCCACTCCAACCCCAAGCTTCTGCCAAAATGTAAGGCAAGATAGAAAACACAGAGTGGGACACCCTCAATGACCACTAGGACAATTCCAAACAAGGGAGAAGGGAGTGGTCTGCACTGCCTCCTCCCCATTCAATCAAACATCAAGCACTGATGTTCACTTAGTAGACTCTGCTGTGTGCCCAGACTTTAAGAGTAAGAAAGACTTGAGTCTGAAGCCTTGGGCAAGTTTCTTAACTTCTCAAAGCCTGTATTCTCATCTGTATGGGGATAGTAAAACCTACCTCCACGGGGAATGCCATGATTAATGCATGTGGAGTGCTCAATACTAGCACATGGCAATTAGTAAATAAATGAGAGCCATTATTATGAATATAACATACATGATTAAAAAGCTAAACCTGTTTGTGTAGAGAAGTGGCAAAATTTTAAGAGTCAGAGAAGGTAGAGATCACTGTGGCTGAGGTGGTCAGGAAAAAGGTGAGTCTGGTACTGTACAGTGAGAAGAAAGAATTGCAGACACTGTCAGGGTCAGCTGGGATCTGAAGGTGGCGCCTGTTCTCATACTTACCTTCAAATTAGGGAATATGTCTACCATACTCTCCTTGCCCAGAGAAGCCATGATGCCTTCATTGTATGTCTGTATGGTCTTCAGTATAGGATGTTCATTTTTGTAGGAGGTGTTGAAGCAGATCAAGCAGATTATGTTGGTCACCGCCAAGAAGAGAGGCAAGCACAAATCTATGGACTGTCCATTATGTGTGGCCAGGAAATCACAAAAGGAACTGATTTCCTGACATACTGAGGGGAGAGAGGGACATGAAATTGGGGAATTAAGCAGCGCCCTCACCACATCTTAGTCAGGGACTGGTAGAAGATGGCCACTAGATGGCAGCAGAAGGCAAGAAGACGCTAGGTTGAGCCATCCACCTCCCTGTTCCCCTCCCCAGCCCTTTTCTCCCTCCAGAGCCCCGCTGCCAGGGTACTTACTGATCTTCTCTAGCTTCAGGTTGCCATCCTTAAACAAGGCAAAGGTGGCCAGCACCAGCTTCCGATGCAGCTGCCAGGCGGCACCGTAGTCGGCAAAAGCAATGCCCTTTTGCTTGTCTGACAGGATGTCTAGAGTCGTCTTTGGAAAGCAGGAAAGGCTGTAAAAATCAGACACCACCCATCCGCCCTTGCCCTGGGTCTCCTGCACCCATTCCCTGACGAAAGAGAGAGGGCAGCTTCCTGCCATACTTGTGGGGCATCCCTGCTTCTCTCCACCATGACTGTGAGGCCTTGGTAGGTCAGGGCCTAAGCCCTTCTAAATCCAGTTCCATCAGAGAGACAGAGTGAAGAGAAAGAAAGAACGCTCGATTAGAATGCAGGCGTTCTGGGGTTCAGTTCGATGACAGGGTGACCTCTGGGCCTCTCTTTTCTCATCAGTTTCTGACTGGGGAGGGCAGCTGTAGATGGGATAAGCTCTCTTGGGGACAGGAGTGAGGATGGGGGCTTGTAGACACTGAGGACTATCCAGACCTCTGCCTTTCCCTGGACCCTCTGGGAAGTGCCAGGGGCACAGCAGCTCATCTCCTTTTTGTCACCTGCCATTGCAAGGCTATTCGCCCACCACAGGCCACATCTGAAGAGTGCAGATGTCTTGTCCACCCAGTCTGAACTTGGGTCAAGCTGTCTCTTCCCAGAGGTACCCCCAAAAGCATAAGGGTCCAAAGCCTCCCCTCTCCTCTCCCCTGACCCTCAAACCCCAACCAACTAGCCTTCTCCTTCCTCTTTGCCCTGGAGAGAAGAGCTCAGTAGAGTTGGGAGGGAGGTAACTGGCCACAAACTTGGCTGAGTTGTCCAAGGGAAAATGAACTAACCCTTGACCTAATCAAAGTTGAGTGGCTTGGAAGCCCTGCCTGGGGTCTTCAGGGGACTACTCAGCAGCATGGCACTGGGATGGGGCGTTGGCAGTGTTCCTGGATGGTTAGCTCCCCACGACCCTAGGAGCACCATCAAAAGCTCTGTTGGATGGATCATCTGTACCCTGGAAATGCTACCAGGGGTCAGCCCCCTGTGAGCTGGAGCAGCTGGGGATGGCTCCAGAGAAACAGCAACCCCAGCCCTCCCAGAGCAGGCTACTCCCTTGCACCTGCCCGTAGAGGACAATAGTCACTATCTCCACTTTTCACATGAAGAGTAACATCCATAAAGCTATTTATTGAGTACTTACTATGCTGGGCACTGGGCTAAGATCTTTACATGCACTAAGTTAATTAGGGAAGTCTTAGGCTCAGAGAGATCATAACCCAGTTCAAGGGTGAGATGGTGGGAATGAGGGTTCCCTGACCCCTCAGGCTACTGCTCCCACCCCACTTCACCTTCTGAGCAGAAAATGAGATCTTTTAATTCTTCCTGCTTAGGTTAGAAGCTGGGTAGAACCTTGAGGAGTCACCCCCCACCCACAGCCCTGCTAGTCTGTTTTGGGGAAGAATTACAGGTGGTTGGAGCTGAAAGAGTCACTCTAGGCATGGCCTTGGCCCAAGAACTGAACAAACCCAGGAGGGTGGGAGAGAGGAGGGACAATGGGCACTGCTTACCACTTGGGGCCGCCCGGAGAATTCTTTGCCCTTCTTGATAAGCACCTCCTTGGCCAGCTGGTGGTGGCCGATCATCACTGTAGTCTTGCTACCCATACGAAAGGAATAGATGGGGCCATATTTTTCCTGCAGCTTGAAGAAGTTCACATGCGGATGGCCATGTCTGGGGAGGAATGGCAGGCTGCCCACCAAGGGCAGCGATGGAAGGCTCTTGGGGTACTTGGCACCAGGGCTCTTTACCTTGGGCCAAAAAAAATAGGCAAGGGTGAGCAGCAAGAGAGCCAAGAGCTCCCACATGGTGGCCAGGTGCCGGCAGGCAGGGTGGACAGTTCTGGAGAGGAAGAGCTGCAGCCACTCTAGGGTGCAAGGAGGCCTTTTTAAGGGCTGCCGTGATCTTCACCTTGACATTGTGTTATCTCTTGCCTTGTGAAGGTTTATCCTGGAGTGCAGCCAGGCCCAAGCCCTCTCCCAGAATGGGGAAAGGAAGAGGGAGTGGAGTTCTCCTCAAGGGCTGGCTCAACTCCAGGGCAACTCTCTAAGGGAGGAGCAAAGTAAGGGATAGACAGCTGGTCCCCCTCCCTGTTCCCAGTGTGCGCCAAAAGCAAATGGTATCTGGTCAGTAATCAGGTTTGGGGCATTCCAAGTTATAAAATCATAATCACCCTGGCTGCTTGCTCAGTGGTTAGAGTGTCAACCTGCACAGTGAAAGGTTGAGAGTTCAAGTCCCTGTCAAGGGCACATACCTGGGTTGCAGGTTTGATCCCCAGTCCTCATCGGGGTCATGTGGGAGGCAACAAATCAATGTGTCTCACATTGATGTTTCTATCTCTATCTCCCTTTCTTTCTTCCACTCTATCTAAAAAAAAAAAAAAGTCACAACAGATGACTGTCAAGAATTGTCAAAGACATTTTATCTAGTCTTATTATGTAGCAGTTACGGAAAGTGAAGCCTTAAAAAGTCAGGCTGTACAAGTCACACAAGACAGTGAAGGCAAGAATCCGAATGTCCTGATTCGTGTTTTACTGTCCTTTCCAGAGGCAGTGAAGCCTTAAGGTTGAGAGCATGGGCCCTAGAGTCAGATAGGTTTGGGTTCAAATCCTAGCTTGACCACTTTCTAGCTATATGATGTTTTTTTTAAAAAATTGGTTTTATTATATTAAAACATACATAATAAAATTTACCTTTTTAGCCATTTTAAGTTTATAATTAAATAGTGTTAAGTATACTAACAAGTTCTACAACCATCACCCTTATCTAATTTCTGTGGGTTTTTTTTCTTTTTTCTTTATTGATTTTTTAGAGAGAGAGGAAGAGAGAGGGAGAGAGAGAGATAGAAACATCAATGAGAGGGAACATCATTTGGCTGCCTCCTGCATGCTCCCCCACTGGGGATTTGGCCCGCAACCTGGGCATGTGCCCTGACCGGGAATTGAACCAGCAGCCTCTTAGTGCATGGGTCAGTGCTCAACCACTGAGCCATACCAGCTGGGCACCCCTATCTACTTTAAAAACTTTATCATCCCAAACAGAAACTGTACTAACTAAAAAGTAACTCCCCATTTTCCCCTCCACCCAGCTCCTGGTCACCTCTAATCTACTTACTTTGTCCCTGTGAATATGTCTATTTCACATAAGTAGAATTATACGATTTTCTGTGTATGCATGTCTGGCTTATTTCACCTAGCATAATGTTTTTGAGATTCATCTATGTTGTAGCAGGTATCAGAACTTCATTCCTTTTAATGACTGCATAATATTCCATAAAATGGAATTTTATGGAATATTATCCATTCATCAGTTGATGAACACTTAGGTTGTTTCCAGTTTTTGGTTATTGAAAATAATGCTGCTCTGAACATGGGTGTACAATATGCGTTTGAATACCTGTTTTCAGTAGTTTTGGGTATATACTTAGGAGTGGAATTACTAGATCATATGGTAATTTTATGTTAACTTAGCCTTTTTAAGGTTCAGTTTCCTCCTCTGTTAATAGGAATAATAATAGAGTCTACTTCTCAGAGCTATGATTCAACGAGATCATGCATGTAAAAGTGCTGCCTGGCATGAAGTAAGTGCTCATTCAATATTTACTATTACCATTATCATATCAAAATGGGCCTCCTGGTTTTTCTGCGCTCTTATTAGATCTTTCTGATAGAGAGAAGCATTCAGTGCTCATCAGTATTTATCAATGATTTGATATTATCAAATGAAGTCAGAGCCCCAAGGAGGTAAGCATTCCTGGTATCAGTCATCATAGAAGAGGTAGAACCTCAGGCAGGCAACCAGGACTCCTGGACTGAGACTCACAAAAGTGGGACATGGCATTCTGCCCCTCTCTGAGGATGACCTGCCAGTTTCTGTACTTTGAGGAATACAGACTGGTGTGACAGCTGCTGGATTTAGTTAGGAAGGCAGCAGGTAGGGACCTTATGATGAACATGAGCCAGCAAGGCCTTGTAAGCCAGGCTGTCTGGTTGTCCACTACTCCAAATGGTCAAATATGGTTCAGACTTTTAGGACCACTATGATCAGAGGTATGGGTTGGGGTAGTCAGAGAAGCCTTCATGAAAGGAAGGGGATTTGAGGTAGGCCTTGAAAGAGAATTAGGACTATTAGGCAGATGCATGGAGAACAGGGAGAAGAGACTACAGCAGAGTCAAATACGTAGAGGCTGGAAAGGGCATGATATGTGTGGAATGGTGATGGTCCTGACTGCAGACACGAAGGAGGTGTGCTGTGGGGGATCCCTGAGGAATAAGATCTGACAGGTAGATTGGATCAGGCTCTGGAGCCCTGAAATGGAAGGATAGGGAGAGTGAGGAGCTTTTAATTTTTGTTATTAAAAAAATTTTTTTAAATTGATATATTAGAGAGAGAGGAAGGGAGAGGGAAAGAGAGATAGGAATATTGATGAGAGAGAGAACATCGATTGGCCACCTCCTTCATGCCCACACTGGGGATCAGGCCCACAACCTGGGCATGTGCCCTGACCAGGAATTGAACCGATGACCTCTTAGTGCATGGGTTGACGCTTAACCCTCAGCCACACCGGCCGGGTGAGGAGCTTTTTTTATTTATTTTTTTATCCTCACCCAAGGACATTTTTCGATATTTTGTTCAGATAGAGTGGGAGGGAGAGAGAGAGAGAGAAACATCGACGTGAAAGCGACACATCGAGTGGTTGCCACCCACACGACCCAACCAGGGCCGGGGACAAACTGCAACCGAGGTACGTGCCCTTAGCGGGAACCAAACCCGGGTCTCTCCGGACCACAGGCCGACGCTCTAACCGCTGAGCCAAACCAGCCAGGGCGAGGAGCTTTTTTTAAATATTATTATTATTTTTTTAATTACAGTTGGCATACGTTATTATATTAGTTTCAGGCATACACCCCAGTGATTAGGCATTACATAACTTACTCAGTGATTATCCCAATAAATCTCATACTCATCCGACACCACACATAGTTATTAGAATATTATTGACTATATTCCCTATGCTGTACTTTACATCCCCGTGACTATTCTGTAACCACCAATTTGTACTTAATCCCTTCACCTTTTTCACCCATTCCCCAAAACTCCCTCCCATCTGGACACCATCAAATATTCTATGAGTCTGTTTCTCTTCTGCTTCTTTATTTATTTTGTTGTTGTTTTTTTATTCAAATGTTGACAGATACGCATTCATTGACAGTTAATTGTTCATATTTTTTATTCTTTTTTTTGGAGGGAGAGGAAGAGACAGAGAGAGAGAAACATCAATGTGAAAGGGACACATCTAGTGGCTGCCTCCCGCACAACCCAACAGGGCTGGGAACAAACTGCAACTGAGGTACATGCCCTTAGCGGGAACTGAACCCAGGTCTCTCTGGACCGCAGGCCAATGTTCTAACCGCTGAGCCAAACCGGCCAGGGCATATTTTTTATCTTTTTAAAAATATGTTTTTATTGATTTTTTCAGAGAAAGAGGAAGGGAGAGAGTGATAGAAACATATGTGAGAGAGATACACCAATTGTCTGCCTCCTGCATGCCCCCCACTGGAGATCGAGCCCGCAACCCAGGTATGTGCCCTGACCAGGAATAGAACCGGAACCTCCCAGTGCATGGAACTATTCTCAATCCACTGAGTCACATTTGCCAGGCCTTAAATATGTTTTCATTGATTTTTTAGAGAAAGAAAAGACGAGAGAGGGAGAAAGAGAGAGAAACATTGATGAGAGAAAACCATCAATTGGCCGCCTCCTGCATGCCCCTTACTGGGGATAGAGCCCACACACAACCTAGGCATGTGCCCTGACTGAGAATTGAACCAGCAGTTTCCTGGTGCATAGGATGATGCTCAACCAAATGAACCACACAGGCCAGGGCGATCTTTTTTTGTTCTTAAAGAAGACCCTTTAACATTTTATATAATACTGTTTTGGTGGTGATTAACTCCTTTAGATTTTTCTTGTCGAAGAAGCTCTTTATGTGTCCTTCAATTCTAAATGATAGCTTTGTAGGGTAGAATAATCTTGGATGTAGGTCCTTGCTTTTCATCACTTTGAATATTTCTTGTCAATCCCTCTGGCCTTCAAAGTTCTGTTGAGAAATCAGCTGACAGTCTTGTAGGTAGCTAACTGCTTTTCTCTTGCTGGTTTTACAATTCTCTCTTTGTCTTTAACCTTTTTTTTTTTAAATCCTCACCTGAAGATATATATTTTTTCCATTTATCTTCAGATAGAGTGGTAAGGGATGGGGGTGAGAGAGAGAGATTGATGTGAGAGAGACACATTGATTGGTTGCCTCCCACATGACCACAACCAGGGCCGGGGACTGAACCGCAACTGAGGTGTGTGCCCTGACCAGAATCGAACCTGTGACCCTTTGGTCTACAGGCTGACACTTCAACTGCTGAGCCAGATGGGCTGTCTTTAACCTTTTGCATTTTAATTATGATGTGTCTTGGTGTGAGCCTCTTTGGGTTTATCTTGTTTGGGACTCTCTGTACTTCCTGGACTTGTGTGTCCATTTCTTTTACCAAGTTAGGGAAGTTTTCTGTCATTTTTCAAATAGGTTTTCAATTTCTTGAACTCTCTTCTCTTTCTGGCACCCCCATGTTGCAAATGTTGGTACACTATAAGTTGTCCCAGAGGCTCCTTACACTATCCTCATTTTTATGGATTCTTTTTTCTTTTTGCTGTTCTGATGGTATTTTTTGCTTCCTGATATTCCAAATTGAATATTTGATTCTCAATTTCATCTACTCTACTGCTGATTCCCTTTAAATTATTCTTCATTTTAGTTAGTGTATCCTTTATTTCTGACTGGTCCATTTTTATGCTGTTGAGGTTCTCGCTAAGTTCATTGAGCGTTCTTATAACCAGTGTTTTGAACTCTGCATCTAGTAGATTGCTTGTCTCCATTTTGGTTAGTTGTTTTTCTGGAGTGTTTTTCAATTCTTTCACTTGGGACTTGTTTCTTTGTCTCCTGATTTTGGCAGCCTTCCTGTATTTGTTTCTATGTATTAGGTAGAGCTGCTATATCTCCTAGGCTTGGTAGCGTGGCCTAATGTAGTAGGTGATCTGCAGGGTCCAATAGCACAGCCTCCCTGATTACCTAAGCTGGGCACTTGAGGTGCACACCCCATGTAGGATGTATACACCCTCCTGCTGTAATTGAGCCTTGATTGCTCTTTGTATGTCAATGGGAAGGATTTACCCCCAGGATGATCAGCTGCAAGGTCTGACTGCTATCACAGAACCTCCAACCACCATGAAAGATCAGTGGGGCTCTGTTGCCCATTGAGTCTGCCCCTTGTGTGTGTCACTTGTGGAAGTGGTTCTTTGACATGGTCTGAAGCTATCCACTGGGTGTGCTAGCTCTGGGGTCTTCCAGGAGGACCAGCCCTTTCCTTGTCTCTGCCTCTCTTACCAGTCTCAATGTGGCTGCTTCTTTAATTCCCCCAGTTGTAGGACTTCCATTCAGCCAGACTTCAGGTGGTTCTGAAAGATGGTTGTTCTGTAGTTTAGTTGTAATTTTGATGTGATTGTGGGAGGAGGCGAGTACTGCCGTGTTTACCTACGCTGCCGTCTTGCCCAGAGGTCCTATTGAAAGTTCTATAGCAGTGTAGTGACAGGGGACAGTGGTGTTTTAGGGATAAATCTGGTATCAGTGCGGAGGTAGACTGGATGAGGAGATCCTGTGTAAACTTTGGCAGCTGGGTGAGAAGTGGGGAGTCCTGAGTCCTGTGATCCAGGCATGGCCCTAAGTGAGGTCAACCAGCGGGTAGAAAAATATAAATGGGTACTTTCTGTTTCTGAAGTGAATGTCAAGGTTATTCTGTGATATTTTACCCTAATCACAAACAAGAAATGAAATTTTAAAAAATTGTTGCTTCCTATTTTGATCATCATGTTATAATTACAGAATTACAGAAAATTTGGAAAATGTGGATAGATAACAATAAATTTAAAATCGTAAATGTATTTTTCTAACCTCAGTGAGGCCATATTGCATTGGGGGGGGGGGGCATAGATATTTTTCTATTTATTATTATTTTTTTCATCCTCACCCACAGATATTTTTCCATTGATTTTTAGATAGAATGAAAGAGAGGGAGAGAAGAAGGGGGAGAGAGAGAGAGAGAGACATCGATGTGAGAGAGACACATCAATTGGATGCCTCCTGCAAGACCCTAACTGGGGCTGGGGATGGAACGTGCAACCCAGGTATATGCCCTTGACTGGGAATCAAACCCATGACCCTTCGGTCCTCGAACTGATGCTCCAACTGCTGAGCCAAACCAGCCAGGGCTCCCTGCTGTCCTTTTTTTTATCCTCACCTGAGGACATTTTTCCATTTTTTGTTCAGACAGAGTGGGAGGGAGAGAGAGAGAGAGAGAGAGAGAGAGAAACATCAATGTGAAAGGGACACATCGAGTGCTGCCACCCACACGACCCAACCAGGGCCGGGGACAAACTGCAACCGAGGTACATGCCCTTAGCGGGAACCGAACCTGGGTCTCTCTGGACGGCAGACTGACACTCTAACCGCTGAGCCAAACCAGCCAGGGCTTCTTA